AATTTGGAAACTGCTTCAATACTACGGAGTACCGCAAACCTTTATCCGCCTCATTCAACAACTATATGAAGATGCCACATGCCAAGTAATCCACAATGGGAAGCTCAGTGATGCCTTTGAAGTGAAGACAGGAGTGAAACAAGGTTGCCTACTATCCCCCATGATATTCCTTATTGTGGTGGACTGGATCATGCAGCAAACAGTAGGCAGCGAGAAGAGGGGGATACACTGGACGACGGAAAAGAACCTAGAAGACTTGGATTTCGCCGATGACTTATGCCTAATGTCACATAAACTTGAAGATCTGCAGGCAAAAACTAACAAGTTGACAGAAGAGGCAGCGAAGACGGGACTTCAGGTGAATATAGAGAAGACAGAAGTGATGAAGATACCGCACCACCACCATCAACAACAACAACAAACTCCAATCACCGTCAACGGTAGAAACTTGAAGGAAGTAACCTCCTTCACTTATCTAGGAAGCACTGTTTCAACTACAGGCGGGACGGACGAGGACGTCAAAGTCAGAATCGGAAAAGCAAGACAGGCATTCATTAGCCTGAAACCAGTGTGGAGATCTTCTGCACTCAGCATGCGGAACAAGATACGGATTTTCAACACCAACGTCAAGTCAGTGCTCTTGTATGGCTCAGAGACTTGGCGCGTCACGAAAGGCATTTCCAATAAACTACAGACATTCATCAACAACTGCTTACGCTCGCTGCTGAAGATCAGATGGCCAGAAAAAATAAGCAACAAGGAACTCTGGGAACGAACCAACCAAGAACCTATCACGCAACAAATATGCAGGAAGAAGTGGAGATGGATTGGGCATACACTGAGAAGGCCGACTGAGGACATCACGCGTCAGGCCCTCGAGTGGAATCCCCATGGGAAGCGACGAGTTGGACGTCCGAGGGTGACATGGAGGAGGTCGTGCGAGGAGGAAATGAGAGCTTCTGGGCTGTCGTGGAACCAGGTTCAAAAGATCTCAGAGAACAGAGGTCACTGGAGGCGTGCTACTGAAGCCCTATGTTCCACTAGGAACCCAAGGGACTAATAATAATAATAATAATAGTCGCGTGTGAACTGATTGTGCAGTTGTGAATGCATTTTACTCCGATGAACTGAGCTTGGAGAAAACAGCTATCCAATGCTCCTTTACTGTTTCTTTATCTGAGATTAAGGTATTTTGTATGCAGCAATAAAACTAACAGTTTGCCCATGAAGGTGAAGAAATAGAGACAATCATTCCATTTTGGATATCATGTGGTATACCTGTGCTTGAAAATCAACTCAGAAAACCGAGAATACAGTTATATGTGTACATGCTACTCTTACTATTGTCTACTGTCAGAGTAAAATTTTTGGAAACTCCTATGCATTTCCTGACAAACTGTGATCAGAGAATCACCTTAGGAAAAGATATTTTAAATATCTTAGTCGATAACTGCTGTTAATAATAGTTTGTTTGCATTAAATGTTTGGTTTTCTTCTAACTCTCATATTTCCTTCTGGGTGCTTAGCCTTTCGGCAAGTAGACTTGGTCAGGAGTTACTGCATAAAAGAGAGGACTTTAAAGTGGCATGAATGTTTATGTGGAATATTTGCCATCCTTGTGCTTTATTAACTTGTGTGGTTACTTGTCATTCATTCTTAAACTTGCTGGTAACTTCATTTCTGGTCATTTATTTGCTTTAATGGTTTCCATTTGGCTGGTACCTTCTTAGTGGTCTAGGTATAGGTCAGTATTCACATATGTGACCACCATTTCATGACAGTACCACACTTCCAGAAATAATCTTAAAGCCTTAGCTTGTTGAAGTATCTCTACGTTGTCCCAAATGAAGTTATGGTTGTGGTTATCTACATGGATCGATATCAATAATGATATATCTTATCATTCGACTGCCAGTTGACGATCACAAACTCTTTGGTTTAATTAAAAACTGGATTAGCGGACATAATGGTGTTGACAGTCTTTGCAATCAATCTTTCATACTACACTAGTTGTATTCTTTTCGAGTTATAAATCCTTTAGTTTGCATTAGATGTTTCTCAGAAACCTGGTTAGTTTGTGTTCCACCTTGACATCGAGTGGGTGAAGTCACCGACTGACAGTTTCCGAAACCTCTTTGACTTATATGGTAAAATGATTCGTTCCTCAGGTTGAAGCAATTTTCCTGAGGTGTGTTCTCTTGATAGGGACTGCTTCTTGAAGAAAATCTTTTGTTGTTTGTCTGCTTTTGAGTAATATTTTGAACTTAAATAAGAATTTAACTTGTCATAAGACTTATTTGGCTGATATATAAACATCCTAATGAGTCACAGTGTCCACATTCGGATTTGAATTCATCACCTCAATATTACTAACTCATTATGAAATCATGTTTACGGAATCCATAATCCATGGTAGAAAACCTCATTATTAGTGGTTTTCGACCATTCCAATCGATCCGCAAGCCCCTGATTTGATTCTGTATGCGTTCAGTAGATCCAGGCCGCCCACCGCAAGTTGGATGGTTCAAATGATTTGGATATCTGAGCTGTATCAATCCACGTGCATTACCATCAACCGCAGTCCCAAACGAGCTAAACACCCACCTGATCGAAGTAGTAAACATTATTAATCGATGTGACTGGTCTATAGCTATTCATGTCAGTCAGCAGAGCACTTTTTTTGCACAACAGGTGTTGAGTATATTGCAAAGCATGTAATTCACCATCTCCTGCCTTGCAACATTGAACTGTTGGGATATCAGTCGAAGAAATAGTTCAAAAGAGAAAAAATAGGACAATACAGACGATACCAGTAAACTTTAAAGTGTACATAGAAAAGTATTGTCCTTTGAAAGATGACGTTACAGAAGAAAAAGTAAGACAAGGTGTCTACGCTGGCACCATCGAATTTCAGTGAAACATATTTGTGCTCTTGCATGATAGCACTGAGGATTGCAGTTCAGTATAGCTTGTTTCATGGCGTGAACGCTGACTAAATAATCGTCACTGACTAAAGACACCCATAAGTATTAATTCATACATTTTATATTTCACCCTACTTTTAGTATGTACACAGCCTCACACATGTCCTCAATCACTTTATATACCTTTGACCTAGAATAATATATCATTCGATTTTATTCCATTGTTCCATACGGCTTCATAAAAGTCAAACAGATAATGGTGAAACAGACCATCTCCACAATTAAACGTAAAACAACTGATGGTAGGCTAAACCATAACTTCATGACCTGAAAAGTTGTTTTTTTGTTGAATTGTTTATGAGAAATAATAAAGAAACAAATGCTATCTGTGGAAAAAAAATAACTATAAATTTGAAGTATTCACATTAAAATAAGCCAAGTAATATCGCTGTTGCATGCAAATAAGATAAACATATGGATTTTAATAATTGTGTCCTCAATATATAAAAATTTGAAGCCACTATGAACCAATATATATTTTAACTAGATTTGTGGAAATCTGAAATGATCAAATAATTACAAGCTAAGCTTTCTTTCATGGAAATTTGATGAAGTTGGGGGTAATTTTCAATGTGCCCAAGTGAGGTGCCATCTAAGCATATTTCCTAAATTATGTGTTTGATGCTTGACCGTCTATACGATATAGAAGATAAAAACGTCAATTTATGTGACAGCCCGGTAATCGTATTATCACGTAGTTGCAATCCAAAGAAACTTATCTTACACTTCCATTTTATTCTACCACAAACTGTAGCCATCATCTGCACTCATCAGTAAGCATATGGACTCACTTTTGCAATCAGATTAGTATAAAAGCCACGATTTCTAAGTAAGAGCTTGTACTATTCATCTGTATGAAAGTTCTTGATTGGACATGACTAAAAGTTTAGTTGAGAGCTCTGCTGAAGAGCTACAAGAGCTACTTAAACAGTTCCTATAACCATTTTCCCTGATGTGCTGTTCTACAGTCTGCATTAATTTTCAGAGGTTTCTTTAAAACAGTGTTATCCTCTACCGTATTTCGGATTTGATGAAAATTGGTGGTTATTTACAAAATATAAAACTTGGTACCAAGTGCATAGCTCTCAAAAACCTTTATTGGAAAAGGAGAATGCTATTTAACCGACTGTTTTCATGTGAAAGATTCTCTGATAGCCAAAGTATCGCCGTAGTGCATATTTATTAGCCCAATTGTTGTTACACTGCATTATTCTATGGGGATAATGTGTGAAGTAACCAAAATCTTGATTATTTTCATACATTCTGTTGCTATGATGAAATCAAATAACCCCGTTAGAATGTTTACAAAATGGCTTTACATCATTTTATTCCATACGATTTTCACCTCTTACATACAAGCCAAACAAATAAAAAACCAAAACAGAAATGTAAGGAAATATGCAATTTCTAATTATATAAATTCAACTTGTGATGACACTAAATCAAGGAAAACACTATGAAGGTCTCATACATATAAACTGAGTCGAACTCGAGGTACAGTTATAAGACTGGGATGTAAATGTTCCGTGACTATGCGAAATGATGTCACTTCACTCCTCAAATAATGATTTTTGTAGTGTTATGTTTTATAACTTATGTCGCAATCTTCGCCTGTTCCTGAAATGTTGAACACTTTTCAACAAGACATTAGTTTTTGTATTCTTTGAAAACTAAATCCATTAAAATTATTTTTTTGTCACGTGTTTTAACAACTTTACTGACACTAACAGAAATAAAAGTGATAAAGGTTTATTATTGTAAATTTTAGGCTGTTTTCACACCTTTGAAGTGAATTTCTGAGAATGACAATAATGTGTCTATCTATCCAGCTATATGTCTGCTTATTAATTTCCCCTATCTCTTCACCTATCCATCTTCTTATTCAGTTTTCCACCTAACTACATTTAATGTCTGAGCAGATGAAAAAAAATAATAACAAATCATATAGGTTAAATTCGTCAAACTATTGGATTGGTTGATGAGATTTTACAGTAATTTTTATTTTTGGGGAAATTTATATACTCTTGGTATATAAACAAGGATAAATGTATTGATACAATTAGCGGGTTTAGTTATCATTTAATTTCTTAAACTTATTACCTTTTTTTAATACATTTTATTTCCTCATTTTTCACCGAATACGTTACGTTTACTTCTTGACCACACAGTGAACAGTATCCCCGAACAATCGTGATTGTCAACATCATCATTATTAGATTCAACAGTTAAATACATATTGTGAAATCATTAATTATTTGCTTTATTTTTAACTGACATTCAAAGACAGTGAAGACAAACTGAAATGCAACTTTAATGTGTTCCCTCGACTTCCGTTAAAGACTGATATAACAGCAGTCAAAGTACTACATAATAGTGGACTAGTTAAACGTGTACATATATATATGAAAACCTGTGCGATGCTTAATATATAATCCTTTGCTTATGTATTCTAAGATATGAAAAGAACAAATTGTCAAATTATTCAAGTATTCTTCATGTACATATTACATCATTTACAATACACTTATCTATTCATTCTACTGATATTACAAATAGAGTGCAATTCTCTGAATCACTCCAGTTTAAAAGAACTTTATTATTCTATCAATGAAGAATCAGAGATTGGATCGTATATAGGCAATTTAAAGTTGGATTCAGAAAGAAAGTTTTTTATCACACCTAATGATGGAGATAAGGCTGAGAGTATGTTGACTACACCGACTTTTGAATTATATGATGATACAAATAAAAAGTTATTTCGAATAGAAGAGACAAGTGGAAAGTTGTTTGTTGCATCACGTATAGATCGTGAGACAATATGCCCACAGCCAGATATTTCACCTGATGGACTGGATAGAATACTATCACTCGGTGATACATCTTCATCTCCGTCCACTCCCTCTTTAAAAGAAGAATGTCAGGTTCACCTGACAGTCTGTATTTCTCGCGTTCATTGGATTAATGTCATTATAACAATACACGATATCAATGATCATGCACCCTTCTTTCCAATCTCTTCTTTAGTTACACCTGGTGAAGCGAATAAATTGATATATATAGTGAATGTATCCGAATCAGTTAGTTCTGGCTATGAAGTACCCCTCATGATTGCTAAAGATCCCGACGAAGGTGTTAATTCAGTTCAGTCATATTCACTTCGTGGTAGTGAATTTGACTCAACATTGTTCTCGCTATCCTACAGGCCACCGTACAGTTTAAATCTTGTCATTTTAGGTGAGTTAGATGCTGAAGTGAAGAATGTTTATACTGGTGAATTAATTGCCTGTGATGGTGGTCAGGTAATCCCAAAGTGTTCTAATCAACCATTTCAACTGCACATAACAGATGTCAACGATAACAAGCCTACATTTAATCAGACAGTTTACGATGTTGAAATTTCTGAAGACATTCCAATCAACTCTACAATTATTAAATTGACTGCAGTCGACTCCGATTCCAGTCAAAATAATGAATTGTCCTATAAATTTGGAAGACCTTTAAGTCAATCTTCTCAAGAACATTTCATAATCGACGGTAATTCTGGAGAAATCACTTTGAAACGTTTGTTAAATGCTAAAGAGAACACTATATTTCTTTTACCTGTTTTAGCATTCGATAGTGGCTCCGTTCCATTAGTAGGTCAAACAATGGTTCGTATTACAGTGAAAGATACAAATGATCATAATCCATGGATTGAAATCCGATCAAACTACGAAGCTAACTTCCATAAATCAATGGCTAACAATACTCAAAATGAAGCAAATTCTAATTCTACGGAGGTTCAACTATCGTTAAATGAGAACCAACCAGCAGGGACAAATATTGGACTGATTATTTCTGGAGATGAAGACATTGGGGAAAATAGTGCAGTAACTTGCAGGCTTCAGTCAAATGTGAAAGACTTTAACCTTGAGCATGCAAATTCTGCAAAGGGAAGAGAAATTTACCGTTTAAGTACAAATAAATCATTTGATCGAGAAACAGTGTTCAATGGAGTTATCCGGATTACCATAATATGTGCAGATAGTGGTAAGCCAAGCCGAACTACTGAACAAAAGATTCTGTTAAATATTCTCGATATAAATGAATATCGACCAGAATTCACTGAACAGAAGCGATTCATTGATTACACCATGCCAGAAGATCAACCTTTAGGAACTGTTGTAATGCAAATTCAAGCTTCAGATGCAGACTCTACCCCAGAAATCCAATACCATATGTCACGTGAAGCACAGTCGTATTTCCACATTGATGCTGACACTGGTATCATAACTACAAGAGCTGTATTGGACAGAGAAACAATGCCTCAGATTAGATTTCTTGTGTATGCTACTGATAATTATTCATCGGAACCCTTTCAAGGCAGTGATGCTGTCACTGCTAATGTTACTGTTCACCTAACTGACAAAAACGATAACAGTCCTGAGCTTATCGGTACTAAAACGTTTCAAGTAGTTGAAAATCGTCCCGGATTTTCTGATTTAGTTGGTCAGCTAACGTCCATTGATCAAGACTCTGGAAATAACGCAACAGTACATTACAAACTGTTGTCCGTTAGTAACAGCAAGAATAATCGAGCTTCGAGTGAATTATTTATGATTAACGGTGAGTCTGGTAAAATATTTGCAACTAAGAAACTCGATAGAGAGGAAAATAGTCAATATGAATTGACAGTATTACTATATGATCTGGGAACACCTGTTCAACGGAGTTCAACAGCTACGATAATCATCAATGTGATGGATGAGAATGATAATCCTCCTCAATGGGGTGATATTTTACAGATTTCTACGAAAGTTGAAGTTGGTGAACAAACTGATCTTTTCAAACGACCACATATGATGGGTTTGGGCACAGTTACTGACCTAGGTGTTATGAATTTAACAGCACCAATCTACCGAGGACAACAAATACTTATTTTAGTCGCCAAGGATGCCGATGACAAACCAAATGCAAATTTAACATTTCACCTACTTCACGTACAACTTATCAGTTCTTATTACACCAATAATAAAAATACACTTCCATATATCAATAAAATTCATTCCCTGAATTCATATGCATCAGTGAATTCACCTTATTTTTCGATAGTCTCTAAAAGCGGCGAACTGATTGCAGGCCCTGGTTCAAAAGGTATCGGGTTAACAGAAAGTGGAATTTATGAATTATATATTCGTGTATGCGATAATGGCAATCCACCGTTGGACTCTAACGCTCGCTTATTTCTACAAGTACACCAGTCTTTGAGTTCAGTCTACAGTGATAAATATGGTGAAAAAGGTCTTTTTGGTTATATATTATCGAGTGGTCATTTAGGAATAATGTTAATCGTTGTCATACTGTTGGTTATGTGTCTTACTTCAATATGCCTTATTATTGCATTCATCTCAATTCGTCGGAGATCTACTCAACGGCAACTTCGTGCATCTAGTCGTAAAGCGTCTAAATATGATAAAAATTCATTTCCACTACAATTGAATGATGAATTAATTATGGAAGGAAATATGAATTTAGACGGTACAATCGGCAACTATGGTAAATTATATCACTCACCGATTATGAATGCAATGTGTGGTGCAGAAGGTGAAAGTCTGTATAAATGGAATCCAGAATGTGGTTATACAGTTGGAAATTTCGGACCACCACCAATTTATAATTTTTGCGCATTGAATACAACACTAGATAGAATGAGATCAAGTCGTACGGATAGCGATAAAAGTAGTTCAGCCCTCGTGTCATCTGAATTCCCATGTCCTATTAATCATTATTCTGAAGAAAGAACAATTATGAACGGTGATCTTACTAGTCCTCATGAATTTAAATCTCCACTGAGAAACATATCCAAAGCCGATGGAACTGGAAATAATAATACCAACGTTAATACCTATACAGAAAAGTGTTTTATTCACACATCCAATCAGTCTGAATTGAGTGAGGTGAGTTCACATAAAGTGCTTTTAGTTTATATACTAACCAACTGTTAAGTTATCTTTGTATTACTCTGTATAACGTTTGTACAACTTTATGAATTAAGAGAACAGTGCATACTATCACAAAGAGTGAGTTCCACTAAGCACTTAGTACTTAGATGTAACGAGTGTAACAAGGTCGCCCAAACTAGGTAAAAATACAAGTAAAAAATTCGGATTCTAGTGCTGAATTTAATGTTATGATGATTGGAGAATCGTTAGGTCAGTCTCACTACAGGGATGATTGCCAACAAAGCAGTCGATTGCAAAATATTTTTGGCGTAGTAATCATACTGATAAGATAAATAGAAACCTCGACAAAATAACCAATCAACACATTAATCATAGTTGTGTATTCAGTGAAGAAAGTATTTCAATCCTCGGGTCATAAGTATTTATACCCTAGAGAGACCTATACCAAAAAGGTGTTTTCTTCGATAAGATCTGCAACATTCGCTCAAATATCATCTACATTACAACTTCATCTTCTAATAAGTAAATTATTTTTGCCAAGCTTTCGCTCACCGATGGTGTTAGTGAAAAACACAATTTTTTAGTCTTTATGGTCAAATAATAATGTCAGCAGAGTGCTGTTGTTCCCAACGGTCCAATCACACAGTTCTAAAGTTTCCCTTCGATAATAACTTATTGTCCGTATGTTTCTCTTTTCACCTAATCAGTTCATATAAGGGGAGTTGATAATGTAATGTAAGAAACAATGAAATTAGCAACAAAAATTCATGAAATCCATGAAACCAGTAAATGCGGTTGTTTGATTTGCCGCAGTAAATCCAAAAGTCTGATTATGGTAACGCAGTTTGATGAAACTGTTGACAAGTATCCTAATCTCTTTTAGTTCATAGCCATCGATGATGGAGGATCAGACAGGAAATATGTTCGTAACCTCTCAACAGTGGGTAGTTTCTCTGTTGGCTGTTAAAGGTTAATGCATAGCTAAGTATAACTACATGCATACAAATTTACAACAAAAATAAAAGTGTCTTAGATACATCCCCTGTAATTTAACCAAAATCTTCATTTACTACACAACCTGTGACTGGAGAGGATTATTCACTGGCCTTATCTGCATGTGGTCGGTGGATGAAACAGTTAACTCACATAGATACGTATAAGAATATCTTTTATACATACATATACATCAATGATAGTGTATCTGAAAATTCTCTGTTCTTATTTGTCTTGCAAAATGTTCTAATCCACCTCAACCTATTCTTTATCCTACTTGAAATGGTATTGTTTCCTTTTCTATAGAAAACCAGAACTACTTTTCATACCCCTCCCCCATCCCCCACCTTCACTTCCCTGTTTTCTGGCAATAAAAACTTGAACAACTTGTAAACAGTCACATAAATCAACAAGAAAAATTTGTTATAAGCTAGACAATGAATGCATAAATTTTCTTCATAGGTATAATTGCAATAAGCATCCTCACAATAGTATGCAGAGTAAAATGTACAAAAACTTACTTGATGAAGTATCTTTTATGTATATATATATATATATATCATGAAGAAGTTTTTCAATCATTTACAAAGTGAAACAGGGTGGAAAAGCCATAAACTTCATTCTTGCCTTTTGTACTGTAGTTTTTTCTTAACTTCCTCTCTTTTCATTTCTTCTTACTCATTTTAATTTTTCCCCGGGAAAATTGTTTCTTACTCTCAATATCTTGAAGAATATATCAAACTACTACACAAGACAAACAAAAGTATGAAAGTTGAAAGATAGCTTTATTTTAATTATCTTTTTCTTATTAAAAACGTTTATCACAAGAAAAAATTTAAATATTCTTCACTTTTTAGACGTCTTGATGAATAATTTTTCCCTACTGCTTTAGTATTCAGCTATTTAAATCAATAATGAATCGTATAGAGATGGAAATAACTTATGTCATCCATTGCTTATAAGTAGAGTCTATCCCAACTGTTTAGTCTTCTAATGGGTCACTGAGATATATCAGCGGCTTTCGATTTATCATGGAAACACAGCGATACATCTCATCAGAAGTGACTTCAATCCTATGACAGAAATTACAAAATATAAATGATACATAGAAATGAGAATAAATCAAATGAAGGTGACTAAAAGGATAATGGGAAGATTAATAGAAAAATCCTTTAAAATGAAGGTATGAAGGAATAAGAAAATTCAGCTGTTAACAGAGAAACTGAGAGCTGTAAATACAAAACATTAAGTGTTTCTAGCCGTCGATTTCGATGGTCTCACTATTTTCAATCAGATTGCTGACACTAAAGTCTTGTGTTAAAAGACTCCATAAATTGGCATAGTTTTTGTATCTAAGTACTTTGAGGGTACTTTTTGTTCTCACCAAAATGAATACAGGTGTCAAGATGAGGAGCTTTCAGCTTTTGTTCTCTTTCAGTAATAGTTAACTTGAAAAGTTATCCCTTTCATTCTGAGACTCGTTCATTAGACACTTTGATTGACATGATTTAATTCTGACGTTAAGCCGAGAAATATTGTCGAGGTTAATTGTAAGTTTTTATGCCTACCTTTCTTAGAATCATATGAGGTATGAAAATCTAGTCGTCAAGCTTTTAAAGGTTTTTCAGCATTAAGTTTAAGCTGAAAAATGGATGATTTAACTTTTGAGGAGCTAAGAAGTCATGCTAATAAAGCCAATATCGTTTGCTTTTTATTTGAAGATTTTTGTCTATAGTTATAAACCGGTAAGAATGATCACTCAGACAAGTCGGAAGTAATTATGTTTCTCCTGAAAACCTCGGCATGTAATTAGTCTTACTCATGGACCATGGTTTCTATTCTGTTACATTTCCTGAAGTGCACGAAAGAGAAGTTATCCTCTACCCCGAAATTTGTTTCAACTCTCTTCATATCTAAAACCATTTGTGATGACATGAAGTCAGCACATATTAGGCCACAGCTCAGGTTCCTACTAGGTATTAGTTTTCCGTCAACAGATTTAGGTCACCCACTACATTGAAAACATACCTGCGCCTGACCTTCCATAGATCAATTTCCTTGATTTCAGCTTGCTACTTACCATTCACTGAAATCAGTCGCAGAAACATCAGGAACCTCAAAGCACTGGACAGCTGTTTCTTCCTATTACAGGACTCCTCAGTGGTCCACACCCATGGCCCCGCCAGTGGTCGAACCCAGGACTTTTGATTAAAACCTTAGGAATCACCTCTCGAAGCTAGTCACTAATAAACTGTCAGATTTACAATGTTTTTCCAACTGCTCTAAGTCCAAGAAGAATAGCAACTTGAAATTAATAAATCTTCACAAACCATCAAATTGAATTTCCTTGATATTTTCCTACCAAACTACATATCAAACTAGTCAGTAAGTATGATAATAAATGTTATTAAAATATTTTTGGATGTATGCCTGTTGTTCAAAGCCACTAACTTACAACGCGCTTAAACAGTGAACAGGTATGCATTTCCTTCCATTTGAAATCGGCACTGTCTGTAAACGCTAGAAGGTTATCTAATCTCTAGATACCTGAAAAACAAAAAGTAGGAACTTACCACACTTGCCACTTGGAGTGACTGAACGTGTCACCTGTTGAATGAAACTTTAAACATTCATATGGCTTCTCACAGAATAACTTTGCACGCAGCAGCTGAATACGCTACTCAAAGAACATCTAATTATATACCAGAAACTAATTCATAACTTCTTAGCTTTGCATAATATCTGGCGGCTTTCCGTACATAGTTCGGATCGTTATTTATCAGGTCTTTGATTCTGATATTCCACGTAACTCACAGGAATTATTTGCTTTTAACTAAAATATAAAATAAATATTGCTTGTCCACTGTGAGAAAGATTAGCGCAATTATGGTCCGGGTGAATGTTGTCTTGCTTCACACAGGTTAAATAAACTCAAAGTATAAATTCTTTTGATTTCTAGGTGTTTCCTATGTTAAAAGGTGACGATTAACAAGTGATTTAAACCAATGACTTCCTTCAGGCGTCACAAAAGACCATGGAATCAGCAAAACTAGAAGGATAAGAACGAATCGTTTCTAACAAACACTTGTAGTCACAGAAAAACAGCACTAAGATGAACAAAACCCCACCATCTAATTATTTTTCCCACTATTTCTCACGCTATCGGATGATGAACCACAGGTTTTCAGCCTTCCTGAAATGGAAGTATTAATGCATTTACTGACTATCACAAAAATGGATAAATGCTATACAAAACACCTAACTTGTTTTTCCTTTCTTATCAACGGAAGCATGTTTTTAATGGTTAACTCAAATTAAATAGAATTACATGCAACTCAAGAAAAGTGAGTTCTCAGAAGATTCTATAAACATTTCAATTTAGACATCAATAGAACAATTAAGAAATTCACTTGCTTTTAGGCCACGAAAGGAAAGAAATGGAGTTTGAAAGTTTGAGGAGATTTATTGATCTCAAGTTGGAATTCATCAAAACTGACATTATTTAAAGTATCATTGGAAATCTGGGAACACTGGACAGCTATTTCATCGTGTTGTGGCACGCTTCAGAAGTGCGCACCCGTGATTCAGTTGGGGATCAAACCTAACACATTTAAGTTCCGCAAAGACAACGTTACCACTGAGTCACTGGGTCGAAATTCATTGGGTAGCATTCTCCTACTCCGATCAATTCATGATATAAGCCGATCCTCATCCAATCTAATCGCTGAGTATTTTTTTCTCATTTAGGCTTGATTTGCCTCACCGGTCCTGATTTTTCAACGGAACTTCGGTGAATTTCATCTCAAAGCGTGTCAATAATGAACACTGGGTAATAATTCAGCTTGAAGTTTTCTGCTGATGAATACGATCTTGAAATAATTAAGTCCCTACAACCTTCAGAGTGGTTAACTATAAAGCATTCATTATTGACACGCTTTGAGATGAAATTCACCGAAGTTCCGTTGAAAAATCAGGACCGGTGAGGCAAATCAAGCCTAAAT